TAGGTAATAGTCCTCCAGATTTAACAATATTAATTTTTTTTTTTTTAATCAATTAATATTTACAGTGACTTGATTACATATTTTCTAAGACATGCATTTTGTAATTTTTCAAAAACAATTTTAATAAATGGATTTTACACACACATTATATATATATATATATATATATATATATATATATGCATGCATATATTTCAGAAAAATGTTGTTTATACATTTAAGTTATGAACAAAGGCATCAGTAAACCTAGAAAGTTTAATAATACACAATTTAATTTAATGTTAATGAAAAATGAAAATCAAACACTCAAAAAAAAAAAAAGAAAAATGTACAAAATGATTATGAACAACCAAAATGCAAATTTTGTTCAGAATTTTTTTATTCTAAACAAATTCTTTATTCTTCAATAAATGCTGCACATACTGCAATCCTGGATCATTTCATGCTTTGAAAAAAGCTTCCAGATCACTGGTTTTTATTGGGTTTTATTTTTATTTGGTTTTAAGTCTATGGCTACAAGAAGATTTTCTCTAAAGGTTCCTAGAGACACAGCTGCAGCCTTATACATAAGTTCAAAATAAGGGTGTTGAAGGAAAAGCACAATATCATCATGGGGAATAAAATGTTCGATCTGAGCAACTGAGAAAAACTCTCAATACTGCCAAAGACTTACAAGAGGAAGCAACATTAGCAACACTTTATTTTTCGATGTCCTTGTTACATGTTACATGTACTTACTATTATAATAACAATAAATTATGCATAATTACATGCAAGTAACCCTAAGCCAAATCCTAACCCTAACCATAGTAAAAAATATATAAGTACATATAGTTAATTAATATTACTCAGTACTTAAATATATAATTACACTGTAACAATTACACCTTAAAATAAAGTGTAACCCAACATTTCAATGCAGAGTATAGCAAGAACACTAAACAACACCTTGCTGAATGCCACTTATGACCAAGAAGAACATGTAAGGCCGACCTGAATATTCTTAAATGAATTTGTATAGACCTTTTCTGGAATAATGTTTTCTGGACTAATGAGAACAAACTGGAACTTTATGGACCCATGGTTCAGCTGTATGCCTGAAAAAAAGGCAAAGATTTTGAGCAAACATGGAGGTGGACCACGGGGTGTTTTGCCTTTGTAAGTTAAAATCCTGACTGTATGAAGAACCCCATGGATTCTTTGAAGTATTAGGCCATTTTGGCAAAGATTGTGATGCCCTCAGTGCAGAGACTGAAGCTGATCAATGGACTTTCCAGCAGGACAACCATCTCAAAGTATACATCCAAATCTACTGAAGCCTGAGTCAGGGATTGGTTGTAGATGTTCTTGAGTGGCCTGTTCAGTCTTCAGATTTAAATCTCATTGAAAATATTTGGGGATATTTGAAGAAAGCAGTGGCAATGTGAAAACAATTTCTTCTCTATAGCTTTTGTAGAGGTCTTTTAGCTTGGCCATATTTGCTACTCAGCCCATGCATGTGCTAAAGTTAAATGTATGAATGTGTAGCAGCTAAAGCTAATTAAGTTATGTACATGGTAATAAAGTTTCCAAAGGCTTGCTTGTGTTTTAACACAATTTTGTACCATACCATACAAATAAGTGACTGCTGATAAGTAAGATAACAGCAGCGTTGAATAGGGCTTGAATAATTATGAGAGAGCCGTATAACAAAAAAAAAAACAAATCTTATAACTCAAAACCATTACATTATACACTGATCAGGCATAACATTATCTGCAAAAAACACTGATTATCTCTTCATCACGGCACCTGGGTGGGATATATTAGGCAGCAAGTGATCATTTTGTCCTCAAAGTTGATGTGTCAGAAGCAGGAAAAATAGACAAGCATAAGGTTTTGAGAGAGTTTGACAAGGGCCAAATTGTGATGGCAAGACGACTGGTTCAGGGTCGCCGGGATTTTGCCAAGTAAGACATGTTCCTGGATCAACATCTTTTGTTGATCCTGGATCAACATTACTGTCCAAAAAATAGACTAAACCCAATCTCTACCCCTAAACCTAACCCTATCCATAATTTATTCCTAAAATCAGTGTGAAATGATAGCTGATTAACAAGGGTGTAGAAGCACCTAACCCTGATCGTAAGCCTAAAACAGATATTGCCTGAAAAGTTATCCCTCAATTCTGATTGGTTGATAGGAATGGTGTTCCAGGATCAACAAGGATGTTGATCCAGGAACATGTTGTACTTGGTGAAATCACGGTCACCACTGGTTCAGAGCATCTCCAAAACTGCAGCTCTTGTGGGGTGTTCCCGGTCTGCAGTGGTCAGTATCTATCAAAAGTGGTCCAAGGAAGGAATCTAATCAAGCATCTGTGGGATGTGCTCCACCTTGCAACTTACAGGACTTAAAGGATCTGCTGCTAACATCTTGGTGCCAGATACCACAGCACACCTTCAGGGGTCTAGTGGAGTCCATGCCTCGACGGGTCAGGGCTGTTTTGGCAGCAAAAGGGGACCAACACAATATTAGAAAGGTGGTCATAATGTTATGCCTGATCGGTGTACATTATATATTGACATTATAAGTTTTAATTAGCCCAAAATGGTTATAGATGCATTTTTTTAAAATTCTGGATCTTCAGAAATACTTACATTACAGTCTCCAGGGGGTTGAATAATTTTGATTGCAGTTTTGTGTGTGTACAACTGCAATCGAAATATATATTAGACTTTTTTTTTTTACTACACTGTTCATTGTCATTTTTTTCTTTTCTTTTTTTTAAATGTAAATCTCTTGAAAATGGTAAAACACTTTTGAAACCAAATGAAATGAAAAACATAAATGCATGTCTAACAACTTGACACTTATTTAAAGTAGATTTTTAAAACCATTTTTCACACAAGTTTCACACAGTATATGTCACCTCAACTAGTGTGGGGCGCTGGCAGCAAGCTCACATTAATTGACAATTTTTATTTTTTTGTCTATAATGAACCTTCACGTTTTGCCTGGCTCTGGATCTTCTTTACACATTAACAAGAAAATGTTAATACTAAACCTTGTTTTAACCAACACAGTCTCTTTGCGTTGTTTGGTCCAAGAGAATTTAGCATTCATTTGTGTCTATGTAAAATGGCTCCTTTTTCTCCAAAACCTTTGATAAAATGGCAATAGCATGAGCAGAGGCATGTAAAAGGCCTGACCTCTGTGGCTATATTACTGGGCCAAATCAGCACTTTCTTTGGGGTCAGGATTGATACCATCTTTTGAAACTAAACTACCTAGAAAAAGCGCATGTTTGATGTATAATGTGGTAAATCAATGGCTTCATAGCATTTAGACTGACACCTCTTTTGCACCTTTGTTGGGCACCGTGGAAAGTGGAAGGGTTGTTCCAACTTAAACTGAGAAACTCAAGCCCACAAGGCCATTGGTGTAGTCTAGACTTTTTTTTTGCCATTTCTGATCACGTGATGCTGGGCGGTGAGCAGTAGTGATTCATTATGAAACTTAAGCTAATTTATACCACATTCAGTTGCTCTTGTAGACTCAAGGATGTTATTAATATAAAATATTCCTATTACTAATGTTAAAATAAAAACAGTATTTTTAAATTGCAATATTTCACAAAATTACAGTTTTACTGTATTTTTTGATCAAACAAATGTAGCCTTGTTGATCATAAGTATCTTGAGAAATCAAAAGAATTTTGATTATATTTTCATATATATGATAAAAATGGATCAATAAATTATTGTCCAAATTATTATCCAGTAGGATATAGATGCAGGATCTATGCATTGTTTAGCTCTACATACAGCTAAAAGCTTTTATTGTATGTTGGAACTGACCTGATGTGAGAAACTGAATTTAACATCAGTCTCACAGTAGGAATTGATCTCATTGACTAATTCTAAATTGTGAAATATCCATTTGTGTGCTATTAATGGCCTTTAGTTTTTATTAGTTTGAAGCAGAGTTTGAGAAAGTGGATGAATTGTAGGTGATGATTCTCCAGTGGTCACTTCCTGTGGGGTATATGCGTTGTGTGTGCGTGTGTGTGTGTGTGTCCAAAAGAGTTGGAGGTGATGAAAGAGTAGGCCTTGTTTCCACTCACCCTCATAGTAAGTGGAATATTGAGGTGTAATGGATTCACAAGACAAAAACACACACAGTACTGCATAACACGCAGTTCCATTGGTGCTCCAACCCAACAAAATACTCAAGCACAAACTCTGAGACGAGATCTTTCTACTTAAATTGTGTGGCTAGAAATAAAATATTGGCAGCTAAGACCAACACTGAGAACTTTAACACTTTATCTCGTGACTAATTGAATGAATGAGTGATAGAAGCATATTTCATTTTCATTTCTCATCAAAGCTTTTTGACCCCTGTTAACGCTATAACTAAACACAGGAAGGAAGTGCGAGAATAGAAGTACAAAGTGTACTGCTTGCACAGAACCCCTAAATCTTCATGTGTGGTTCAGCAAACACTGCAGTGAAGCCAACCTGAGGGTCTTTGCAGAAATGACGCAACCTTGCAAAAAGTTGCCTTTGTGGTACATAGAGGATATTCAAAAACAGCTGACTAGAAACTCTTTTGAGTCACAGTAATCTCTGAGCTCTTCTCTGTCCCTAATTTAGAGTATGACACTTAGATTTAGATTTTTTAAGAATAAATAGCTCTGGAAACGTTCAACCAAAAATCAGCATAATTTCCAGTGACAACCAACCCACTATCACATGCAAATATTAGTGGCCATGGAAACACCTCGACACACTCACGAGAGTGAGACATCCTCCCTCGATTCAAAGTTGAAATCAACAACAGTTTTTGCAATTAAAACTTTTATTGAGCAGATTTATTAGCCATTATTGACACATTACTCAGTCAATATGACTACTGATCATATTAATATACAATCAGACTTTAAAGAAAATAAATATTTGGATTTAATCTACTTTCTCCTGATACAGAAGCATATTAGTGTTCATTCAATCTGAAACTCTTCTACACAACTTTCCAAAAGAACTTAACAGCCACAGGCAACCGATACATTCAAAATCAAATGTGATTTGACAATGCCAAGCAGACAGATTGCATTGCAATGAAGCTCTGAGGATCTCAAGGTAGTCCAGAGACTGCTGACCTCTTCATCTGAACTCACAATCGTGCCCTAAGCATCCCCTAACTGATCAGTGAGTCTTGAAGAGGCCAAAATAGTTGCTGTGATAATTTTTGCTGAGCAGATGGGGGTGTGAGACATTGACAAACAGCCAATCGGATTCCTTGAGATGCTGAAGCGAGCCTATGTGACTCCCGGTCATCCACGGCTTTTTGCTCCCTGCAGAACAGAAGCCCTCTCGGTGATCTTCCATGATTGTACGGTTGTGGCTGTTTCTCTGCAGACGCATTTTGTGAACGTAAAAGTCTTCGGGGTTGCACTTGGGTGAAAGAAACTCCACGCGGGAGTAAACGAAGTACAAACCGGTCTCGTTGACCTGAAGGCCACCGTTGATGTACTTGACGCCTTCTGTGAAGGCCTCGCCGAGTTTTGCTTCCCACGTCAGAATACCAGATGATGTGCTCTGGTCTCCACGACCTGAACAAAATATCCAGATAAGATACTGTTTTGTAGCAAAAAATTTAAGCAGCTTCTTTAGAGTGCCTTCTGGACCAAATCTTACCTATCAAGTGTGCAGCAGATTTAAGTTTGTTCCTGTTCAGCTCAGCAGGATTCAGGCCTGTCGAATGATAAAGTGAGCAGTCAGGTCATCATGTTAACCAGAGAAGATTTAGCACAGGATGAAGCTGATAATTGATAACTTGGTCACACAACTCACCAACTTGTCTCTGTGGAGCGCTGCTCTGCATTTGTGCGGGCATTTCCTGCCATTGGAGGGAAGAAAAAAGGGTCACAAATTGTTCACACATATTGTGCATTCAAAAATATTCTCAAGCTGATACAAACAGGTCTTTTTTGCAAACATAGATATACTAAAGTGAATTGACTATTAGTTATGAGAAAGAGAGGCTGGTGTTAGACTTCTCTACAGTTGAAGTAGAGGATTTCCTGTAGCCTTGTGACCAGTGACCACAAGTTTTTTTTCTCACTTGTAATTATGTCCTACTCAGTCGCGTGCACACGATGGAATGGAAACTGAAAAATTATACTCTCATGAACATCAAAGAGATTCAGATTACATAAACAAATAATAAAGCTCTTGGCTGATTTCCAGGTGGTGTATGAGTAACTATCAAGGCTTCAAATCTCTTAAAAATTGTGATGTCAATATACAGTATCTGCGTGTCAGTATGCTGTAAAGCATTTAAGCACCTAAAAGGGATTTTAATTCCACTGAATTAAAAAGAGCATAATTCTCAAAATGTATTTCCTAAACACTTTTATTTCACACAGGTGTCCTTGACACAGGTGTAGTTCATCACATTATGAACATAATCCAGTGACATTTGTTAACCAAAAAGTGTCAAAATACTTAATACAATATTATTGTTTTTGTTTGTTCTTTTTGTGAAATGTTTCACTTTTGCTTTCACTATCTTTCTTGTAATTAAATGTCACTTTATCAGATGTATTACAGATTATAGATATAGATGTATAAAAAAAATACACCTTAGTTGATATTTTGTCATTTAATAAAATCCCTTTGATTCTCTCTCTCTCTCTCTCTCTCTCTCTCTCTCTCTATCTATCTATATATAAATGTCACTTTATCAGATGTATTACAGATTATAGATATAGATGTATAAAAAAAATACACCTTAGTTGATATTTTGTCATTTAATAAAATCCCTTTGATTCTCTCTCTCTCTCTCTCTCTCTCTCTCTCTCTCTATCTATATATTAAAATCACATCACAATATAATACACTGTTAAGTAGCTCTTACCTGTGACAGCCGTTGCACTTCAGTCTGTAACCTCAGGATCTGATAGGTTCCCAGTCCCAGGGCTGCAAAAACCAGCAGGAGTATCAGTGTCAGTACCCAGGCCATCCCAGCATTCGTTCCCCCCCAGCCCCTTTTCTTCATCTCAGCTCGGGCAGGGGGGAACGTCCAGCAGGGCACCAGTTCTGGCTCTGCGTGTCTAGGCATCTGCTGATGGTAATACCGATGTTGGTTAGGGTGACCTCTGCCAGAATCCACCATGAACACCGGCCGGGACGGGTGGCCAGAGTTACTGCTCATGTCTGCAGAGCTCAGAGGTGTGTGTGAAGGTGTGAGTGACAAGAGAGTATGTCTCGAGAAGGTTGTTGCTGAACATCGGTTTTAAAAAGGTCCTTCAGTGTGGTTAAGGCTTCCCACCCACACACACACACACACACACGATGTCTGTCTATCTCTCTCATTCTCTGTCTCTGATCCTTTCTTCCTGTGTCTCATGCACACTGATGCATAGGATGGATTATTATGAATTTTTGGGTCGGTATATCAGCATTCGCATGCATTTGTGGCAAACCGATGTGCATAAAGTCGTATCTGAAAAGGCTATAATTGTGACATCATGGACAGGAAACCATTCATCTTGAGTCTTCTGTGCACTTGCAGGCAAACTGCTCTCGCAGTTATTAGTAAGTGTAGCATAAGAAATAAAGATTTACAATTTAAGATTTATGATTTACTTCTTAAAGAAACCCTTTAGCCCAAAATGACAATTTTGTAATTTACAATCACCCTCATGATGTTTCAAACTCAAAGTTTTTTTTTTCTCTATAACAATAAAAACAAAGTTAATTTTTGTCTTTTTTACTAACTGATTAATAAAAAATGTATTAATAATAGGATCAGTAAATACATGGGATCTTAAAGGTTTTTTTTCTCTATAACAATAAAAACAAAGTTAATTTTTGTCTTTTTTTACTAACTGATTAATAAAAAATGTATTAATAATAGGATCAGTAAATACATGGGATCTTTTCAATAAACTGGACTGAATTATTCAATCACAATTTGGAGTAATATGGACTACATCTATGGTGCTTTTTAATATTTGTAGCTGAACCAGCCCTAACAAACTGTGATATTGTACGAAAAAGGCCTGTGTGAAGATTCTTTAAAACTAATCTTTTGTTCCATAGAAGAAAGGAAATAATGAATAGTTGTAATTTTGGAGTAAACTGTGCCTTTCCTTGGCAAAAGTTTGGTCTGAGCATTTGATTAAAAGCTTTAGTGCATTTTTTCATGCATTCAATCACAAATCCATTAATGCACTAAAACAAATCAAAACTTGCTTTACTCTAAGTTTCAGGCTCTTCCATAGGTGGCATGTCATCTGCATATGAGGCGAAGGATTACATGTGACCTAGAAAGAGTTCTTTAGAAGGGCCACATGTCTTTTTAAAGACCACCAGCATCCTGTCAGCCATCACATAATGTACAAAGGTTGACAGAAACTTTAGAGCAAGTTGTCAGATGGGTTACTTTGTGACATGGCCTGCTGTGTCAAACCCACCACTCAATCACGGTCTGATGGTGTGACATACTATACTGGATTATAAATTCATTCATTAAGGATTATTTAATTGTTTTTATTAGATATTAAACATGGTTGAACTTAATAGAAATGGTGACTAACGGCATTTTATGTTCACTTGCAATTTTTTTATGTTCTCCAATGGATGAAAAAAAAATGAGATGGGAGGAAATAATTATATTTCAATAAATTTGTGTTATCACAAGAAACTTTGCATTTGCTTGCAAAAGTTGTGTTCTTGTGCAAAAGGTTTTCATTTGCAAGAACTGGTGATGGAAATATTATAAAATTCACCCGAATAACTTTGCATTCTCCAACAAATAGTTTTGCGTTCTATTTTGTGTTTGTTTGAAAACGTCTACATCCTTTTATAGAGATGGTGATGGTCAAAAAATAGGATGAGAGGAAAAAATTATTAAAATTTTTTCATGTTCGCTTGCAAAAATTCTGCGATCTCCTAAGAAACTTTGCGTTGACTTACAAAAGTTGTGTTCTTAAGCAATTTATATTTTAAAGGGATAGTTCACCCAAAAATGAAAATTCTGTCATTAATTACTCACCCTCATGTCATTCCAAAGCTGTAAGACCTTTGATCATCTTCCGAACACAAATTAAGATATTTTTGATGGAATCTGAGAGCTCTCTGACCCTCCATACACAGCAAGGGTATTACCACGATCAGCGTTGTTTACGTTCAGTAGACAATGCATGCATGCTGAACGCTGATTACATTGATTATGTTCTGGGGTACTCTCCAAAATGACGGAAGACGGTAACTTGGGGAGAAGAACTGCTGAATAAATAATGTTAATACTGTTTTATTTGAGCACAAAAAGTATTCTTGTAGCTTTGTAAAATTACGGTTGAACCCCCGATGTCACATGGACTATTTTAACGATGTCCTTGCTACGTTTCTTTAATGCTTTTGTGCGTTCTCCCAATAAAGTTGTGTTCTCATGAAAACGTTTTTTTTTTTTTTTCACTTGAATCCATGAAAACAACTAAAAGTGCTGTATTATGCATGCAAGACCAGTAGTTGGCGATGACACTTGGTAGAGAAACACTATGCGCTTGTGCACAAACCTATAGACTCAACACATTATAATATGCATGATGTGATATTCCCAAATTTGTTTACACGGAGATGCTAAATATTAGTGTAACTTTGAAAACCACTTTCAAAAGTTTGTGTTTTCAAAGCTCCCAAAATGGCATTGTGGTGTAAATGAATGAGCAAAATGCATGAAAGGTTTTCTGTTTTTAAAACAGTGAAACAGTGTTGTGTAAACACCCCCTTAGAGGTTCTTTAGTAATAAAACTGAATTAAAAACGTGCCAAACCCTGAACCATCGTAAAATTGTATAAATAATTGTAACTAAATATAAATAAATCTAAACCATATAGCATTTGGAAATACTCAACATTTTCTAACAATTTATGAACATTAAAATATCAATCACAAATACAAAAATGTATACACACACACACACACACATACATACAGTGGGTACGGAAAGTATTCAGACCCCCTTAAATTTTTCACTCTTTGTTATATTGCAGCCATTTGCTAAAATCATTTAAGTTAATTTTTTTTCCTCATTAATGTACACACAGCACCCCATATTGACAGAAAAACACAGAATTGTTGACATTTTTGCAAATTTATTAAAAAAGAAAAACTGAAAAATGCTCAGTATTTAGTAGAAGCACCCCTTTGATCTAATACAGCCATGAGTCTTTTTGGGAAAGATGCAACAAGTTATTCACACCTGGATTTGGGGATCCTCTGCTGTGCTTTGTGTGATTTGTTTGTTGTTGGATTTCTTTTAACATGTCCAAATCATTTTTGATTATTTTTATTTCAGTTTTAATTTTAGTTATTTTAGTACTCCAAGTTAAACTGAAAATGAGGGATGTTGCCTTAGCAGAATTTTTTATATATATTATTATAATTTTTCAATTAAAGTTTATTTTTTAAAGTCTTTTTATAGGCTAGATATTTAATTAAATATTTGTATATACTAATTGTATTATAATATAAAAGTTTTTAGTTTAAAATGTTTCACAAAATTCAATAACCAAGTACATTTGTTTGAAGCAAACATCAGACCTCAACATTTATGGTAAGTTCTTTAATTACTGGCTTTTGCAGCGTCATGTGTGCAATATGATCACAATATTCCATTTGACGATTTTTGTGGCATCTACGCTCAAATGACTGATTAAATCATAACTTGATCCACTTTTGCTTTTGCTCATGGCAGTAATGCAAATTTCCGCCGTTGGGGAGTTTACACTGCAGCAGCGGAAACTCCTCGAATGCAAACAGGCAATGACATGGTACATATCCAAGGACTTAAAACAGTAGGAGGAGGGAGCACTTTTGGGGAAAAGGAACACAGAAAGGTACAAGTTGAGCAATTTATTACAATACTAATGCTTTAACATTCTTCATGATGAATAGCATGAGAAGTGGGTATATGAGAGTGAGGCCAAGCTACTGACAAAAACGGCTGATTTTTCCGGGAAGGCCTAGCAGTGATGACTTGCAAAAGGGTATGCAGCAGGTTGAGGGGTTTAAGGTGATGCCTTTTCCTGCCTCGCTTGGTTTCAACCACATTATTCACCTCACTGTCATAGCCTTAACCATTCTCATGCAGACCCCTGAGATTGCACGCTGCAAGATCGAAAGCGCACAAACACACTCATATGCGCAGACAGACCGTTTCATGTGGCAGCTCCTGTTCTTTAGTGGTATGTGAAATTGGGTATACTGAAACTCATTTTCCGCTGCATCACTGTTTACAAACACTCGTGTAAACCTCTTTAAGGGTTAGATAGCATATGAGATGGAACGTTATTTATTTAATAGTTCTAGATGCATGAACAAAACGTGTGTGTGTGTGTGTACATTTTCGTATTTGTGATTGCTGTTTTAATGTACATAAATTGTTTGAAAATGTTGAGTATTTCCAAATGCTATATGGTTTAGATTTATTTATATTTAGTTACAATTATTTATACAATTTTAGGTTGCACTTTATTTTACAGTATATGCGCACTTACATACTAACCAAAGAAATTACTGGGTAATATAAGGTAACTAAATGGGTTAAGGTTAGGTTTGGGTGGTTCAAGGTTAGTACCTAGTTCTTACCCAGTTTTTGTAATTACTAAGCACATACATGTGGAACAGGACTGTAAAAAAGGTGTGACTACATTTTTAGTTTTAAGAGCAACTATAATTAATCTATCCTGAACTCAGTGAGTCTGATATAATAACCATGTTTCAATTATATTGAAATATGTATTCAAATACACACGTGTCATGACCAGTCATTGCAACATTGTGGGAAATTCAAAACGTATACTGCAAGCAAAGCCTTTTCCAAGGCATTTCAATGTCATGGATGACCAAAAAAAAAAAGAGCCAAAAATTTTTGTTGTAAATTCCGCAGAGGAAACATTTGCTTATTTGACAACTGACGTGTGCAGTAGTTGCATCAGTTTTCTTACTTCACCTCACAGGTATGGGAAACCCTGTCTGCCCTGTGAGCAAATGTAGCCATGGTGCTAGAAGTCATACAAAGGCATTCTGAATGAGTAAGACATCACCACTGCTGCTTGGTAACAACGCTCTGCTCTTGCTCAGTTTCCCAGAAGTGTTGCCTGCTAAGCAATTCTTGCTGCTGATGTATGAGGGGTTTTGGGGTCGGACCGTGGGCCGCAGGGCAAAGCC